TACAATACACTAATTAACTTCCGACTGCACCATAAATTGTTGACTTTACCGCGTAATTTCTATTACCGGGTTCATTAGATTGAGATAAGCAGTTTTACGAAAGTGTAGGATGCCAGTGTAATTATTTAACGGCAGTTATGAATGTTGTAGGTTAGTAGCTTGCAACTTTGCAAGATTGTGATATATTATTCTATGGATTGAGACATTATTGCGGCCGGTATTCACATCTCGCGTTTAGCACTAAATGTGGGCGTTGCGATTCTGACTTTTACGAAGATCGCGTTCAATGTTATCGCGACTGAAAATCGTGCTGCTTCATTTAGCATTATATAAAGGATCTAAATAGATCTTCTAATTCAGAAAATGACAAAAAAATTGGAAAGGTATAAAATACATGTAAGATTATGAACAATAAATGATATTATTGCATGCAGATACAACCGAAGGTTGGCAGCAGTCGGGAGAAAAATAAACGAAACGATAAAATACATATTAAAATATACATACATTATTTGGAGCAATATATGTTAAAATTTAATATGCAAAATATCTTTTCAATATCAATTTCATTCATCAATCTATAATTTCAAATCTATAATTTTTAACGTAACTATGAATCGATGTAATGTTATTTAAGCGAACATAAGTTATAAATAACAATTTTACCGCGCTGTCTGAGCAAGAAACTCGATCGTTAGAACAAGCATTTTCAAATTGTTATACATATCGTGTGTTAAGGGTTTGGAATGGATCTTAGAGAATATGTTTTCCAAATATGTTCTTCTTGTTTCTTAAACAACATAGGTATTTCAATCGTATAAAGTTCTCTTGGGACACTATTCATATTTTCTCTTTACGAAGAGGCGTAGGCAAATCTGTAGGGCTCCCTATCGCGGTGATCATTCCTGCAAACGTTCGAAACTCGAGACCGTGTCTAGCTGATGCGTCGCGAGACAAGAATCTCGTCGAATCCACACCCAGCTCGCGAAGGCGCGTAACATTTGTTGTTGCCGGGGTAACACGAACAGCCGCGGAAATTATGACGTACCATAACTGACGACACCGTACATCACGCCCTGCCCATTTTCACGCCGCGTCGCGTCGAGACCATCGTCGTAAAATAGGAGCGCGTGTCTTTCCTTTTACGAAGCCGTTGTGTCGAAGTCGAGCCATTAGCTTTTTCTCCGGGCTCGTTAAGTTGGATTCTCACCATTTCGTGGGTGACACTCCGAGGAGAGGAGAGTCACCACGGTGCTCGGCATTATCGATCGACCATCAATAAAATTACAAACCGTTCGGAATCGCCGATTGTTAAGCCGGTGTCGATTTAATCGCCACCTTCTCGCGTGTGACGATCTTGGTATCAATCGACACGTTCGCACGTTCGTAAATTAATAGTGTAAAAACGGTCGCCAAGTTAGACGCTATCCTTTTTTCGTAACACTAAAAGCACTGGCAAGTCAGACTACTATTAAAAATAAAAATTAACTAATCTGACTGAATAAAATTAAAAGACAAAAAATAATTTAAAGGCTCTATAATTTGCATCTATTATCTATTTGCATCTGAGTTTTAAATTCAGAATTGCTTGGCTCTTAACATTTTTATTAATTTCAAAAATTGAAAAGCTGTTAATTATTCCGCACGAATTTTCGCAAGTACTGATATAACTTCACCAGTCAGCTGCCAATTTCCCTCTCCCCTATTTTCACGCGGGTACCCATGGGATTCCGCGCGCGTTTGGCGCGTGCGAATGGAGCCAACAGCGACATGACCGTGTCGCGGATATACCCGCGTGCGTGCGTGCGTTCGTACCTGCGTGTCTTACGTGCGCGTGTGCACCTTCACTGCTATACCCGGCTAAGATTTCTCTCCCTTCTGTCTCTCGTTCTCGCGGCGTTCACGCACACGCGAATGCGGGCGCGTGTACCAGCGTCACGGACGCACATGAACGCACGCACTCACACTCTCGCGTCCGTCCTCCGCGTCTCTCTCTCCCTCTCGGTCCGCCGCGGGTTCTCTAAGGCGACTTACGCCTACACGTTGTAGTTGCAGCATCCACACTTAGCCCTCCTCAGTCCAGCGCGTGCCTCCACGCGACCAACCACCACCTCGATCACTGCTCTCTCACTCTCGCGCTGCGGTTCACGCTCGCGGTGGCGAGCCTCAACACACGTCCGCCGCGAATTTCGCGCTGACAGTGCTTTCGGCCAGCGCCTGCTTGATCGCACGGCCGATCAAGTGTCCCCTGTGCAACTGTGTCTCACAACTGGAGAAAATCAAATGAAGTGCGTTGGATGTGGCTGTCATGACGAATGTCGCGTCGACGCTTTCTAACGGTATAATTTCATCATGAGTGCTCGGCAAAACTGTATAAGAAAGCCTCGACGCGTTTTGCAGCATTGTGACATTTGTATGAAAAATATAAAATGATGTTTCGAATGCTTATAAAGCAATAAAAATTCGTTGAAGATTGAATGACAGTTGAACATTCTACAATTTTGCACTCTGGAATAATGGAACATTTGCTTCTGTAAAACGCGAATAAAGATATAATGCGGTTTTGTTGACATCTTAGCGATAACATATCAGTCTTGTATAATTAACCCTTATAAGAATATTTATCTTATTCTAATATTATGCAAAATAATTTAACGAACGTTCAACTGTTTCTGAAACTTTGAATATATTTTGGAACATCATGACGGCGCATTTGACTATATCTTTAATCAGTGTCATCCAATTTATGAAGGAACAATTATTAAAATAAATGATTGAGGTGGTGTTCGCGTATCGCGAGTTATATTATCGACATCCGGAGTAATTCGTCAAATTTCGGTGAATATTTTGTGAAGAGTGTTTATCATAAAAAAAATATATATTTTACTTGTAATAAATTCCAATGAAAAGTATTGCTCACAGGCATTTTAACAATTGGCCATAAGCAATCTAAATATTTACGATGGCGCACGGTAAGTGCGAACGAGCGGTCGAACTTGTGATTTTATCGAGACGAGCGGGAGCTGAGTAGAGAATTCGCATTCGATCGCCGATCATTCGGAGGGTCGATCTGAAACCAGTTGATGATCGAAACGCGGGTATAGAGCCGCGCGTTTCGTTGACCATCATTGACGACCGCTTTCGGCATCCGGTCTCATCAAGACGACGATAAAACGGAGAAGGACGACGCGCGACGGGGGAGGCGAATCGGCAGTTTATCGATCCGTCGATCGATCGGGAAACGTCGCGGCCCGCCGCTCTCGACGGCAGCGGGTGAGCGTTGGCACGCGGATTGGAAATCGGCGAGCGTGGGTCGACACGCGGCGCCAACCTGTTGCTCGAGATCGGACTCGTTTCCATTTAGAGGACTAGCGGGAGCCCAGGCCGAACTGGCTGCCGTCGCTCCGACACCGTGGGACCCGTCCTCGATCCGGAGCCAGGAATTAATCAACCGGACCGGCGCGCCGAAGTTTCGAGTGCCTACTTCTGATTAACGCCCGAGCGTGTCTTTATGCAGTGGGATCGGCAAGTTCTCCGTGGTAGTCTTCTGTTTCGGAGTCGGCTATCGATACTGGTTGTTTCTGATTAATGTCGTGTTCCTCTGAAAGAGACTGTTGACGATAGAAGGTCTTCAAGATATACGTCTTTGACTCGAAACCGGGAATTAATCAAACGAACTCGTGATTAAATGGACCCAACGGACAGTTATCAACAGAACCACGAGTCTTCAAGATAGACTCTCAATTCGGAGTTCGGAATTAATAAGATTTGAACTCGTATATTGCGAACGCGTGTCTTATTAGTGTCGGAATGTGACTTCCAAGTAGTGTAAACTGTGTCGTGTTGAAATAATCCAGTGTAACTTTATCGTGTAACATTTATTAGAGTGCGTGCCACTTAATGTTTAGAAGGAGATTACATTGAGTGTAAAAAGACGATAGAAATCCAAAACACCCGCTTGCCCGATTCGCGTCTTCGAAGATCGAGATCAATGCGCAATTCCAAGACAGAATGAACGTTATGGGATTCAAAATGGTCAGTTATTCAGTGATCAGTTTCGTGGTCCTCTGGGCCAGTTTGTCGTCGGCCAGTCTCTCGACCGGCGAGCTGCTGGAGTGTCGGGCAAACTTGACGGCGACGATCAGGAACGACACGATGTTCCTGCAGAAGGTGCGCCAGTCGGACTACATTTTCACGGGGAAGGTTAAGGAGCTACGGCACGGGCAACTGCTGCACGTGCGCGTCAAGAGGGCGATCAAGGGTGCGCTGAACGTCACCGTCGATCTCGTCGTGAACGACACCTGCGGTCGTTACATTAGGCGCGGCTACACCGGCATCTTCATGGCGCGTCGCGGTGCCGGCGACGTGGGCAAGATCGTGATGCACTTTGGCCCGGTACCGCTTACGCTCGCCAACCTCGACAGGCTGAACGCCGCCGTCAGAGGTGAGTTTCGCCGTCAGGCACCGTCGTTCTTCGCTTTCGTGTAGTGGAACGCGAAACGCAGCGCGCGAACGTTCGCGCTTTAACAAGACACTCTAACGTCGCGCTAAAACGCTTCCCGTTAATTGGATAAGTTGGAATACGGACTACCCGGCGTAGCACCGTCGGGCGCGAGATACAAGCGCAGCGGCAGCTTGTCCGTTCACGTTTAATGGATCTCGTCATCAGGCGAGAGCGACGCGGTTTCGCAAGGGAATATGCGCGGCTCGCTTATTCGGATTATACGGTTCGCGCCATTATTTAATACATTATATAGGATGTTGCCTGTATACAATTTCAATCCTCTCATCGGTTAATTTCAGAGCCAAGTTGTGAGCCTTCGCGAACCTTGAGAACTCGAGGAATGCAAATAGATAACAGAATTTTCTAAGAAAGATTTATTTCTCAACAGAACTTTAATGAGGAAAATTAAGGAGAATTTAAGTTAATAAACAATCTGCACGGATTTTGTAAAATACAAACTTTGCGGAATTATCTTGAGAATCTTTTGCTTTATTTCGTTTTGCATGGCATATAGGAATTTATTCAACATTTCTATTTTTTTATTCATTATATAACCTGCATTACGCATAATTTAGGAATAAAGAAAGGATTTCGCATTCACGATGATTCTTATCTTTTTTTCTTACATATTGTGCAGTATTCTCTTACAAGACTCATGCGTGAGCGTGTTGACACGCAATGTGTTGTTGGCACGTAGGTGGATAAAACACGTCAGTCGGTTAGCATTCAAGGTCCACTGGACAATCGCCTCGACCAAAGCGTAAAAGAACTAGAAACGGGCTAAAGAATCTTCTCATATGAATTAGTGTCTAAGAATATAAGGAAAAATTACAAATTGCAACGCGTCAATTTTTAAATTGCATTTCCATATGTCTCGTCTTTACAATTTACAATACATAAATTACATATGTAACTAAATATCGTATAATTATAATGTTTTTAATACGTAATAATTTTTAGCAATACATTTTTTGCTTTTTTAAAAAATCTACCGTTAAAAAATTTCTCGTAGATTTGATTAGTCACACGATTCTGTGTACTTGCTTAAAATCTCAATGAAAAAAAGTAGCTCGCGAGAAAGTTTGATTCATCGCGTCGCGTTTAACCCCGAGGATTATTAAATCATGGCCGTTTCGCCTCACGCACGCAGGCCATGCCCCTTTTCATCGCGTTAATCGCGCTAAATAAAACGACGCGCATTATAAATAAATTACGACTGTAATTTAACTCTTTTACGATCTGGGGAGCGCTTAATTCCTCCCCCGGGGCCGATGATACCGTTCCGACGTGATGTACCCCGACGGTCGCCGGGATTGTTTCGTGGACTATTAAAGAAATTAATGTAGGAATTATAAGACTGGCTTCCCGGGGTACATCGCGGGTCCCAAAGTGTTAGGGAACTGTGATTTATTTAATAAGCGGAGATTAAGTGCGGTTCTCTTTCTCATCGCGCGCTCACGGGTCCTCTCTCGTCTTTTTACTCCCGAGATCGGTTTACGGTCAAACGTGGCGCGACGATGTCAACGATGCGATACGACGACATTGATGAATAAAAGTCCCGAGCGCGAGGCCCTGCGGCCAATCATTTAATCTCAATAACTCACAATGCCGCCTGGGACCGACAAGACTATCGGACGTCGCTTTCCCCGATTCCCTTGCTTCTTTTTCCCCCCGTCATTTGCAAGTCGATTGGCACCGTGAGATCCGTGAGTCGCCGTAAAGTGTCGCCGGGATCTTTGACGAAAGCCGTCGTGTATAATTAGAAGTTTTTCCCGCGATGCCCGCGGGGCTCGATTCGAATTAGCGGAGGAGCTTAATTCGCGAGCTCAGCGTCAATCAGAGGATACGGAAGAAGAGGGCCGTTTCGCGATAATGAAAGGGTGGAAGCCGCTGAGAAAATCGCCACGCTTGTTCGCGCCTGAATCCGCCGTACGAGATTAATGACGTGTTACGCGATCTAATCTGATCATCGTATCTCTGAAATATCTCGGTGTCTATCTAGAGGGTGCGTGTCTTGGCGAATTTGAATAGGACTTTTCCTCGCGTGAATTTGATCTGTTATTACCGCGCCATTATTCAGTGCTCACTGCTCGCATCATGATCGATCTTCGAATCTCTAAATCGGAATTCAATCGCGAAAATTTCATGCGGTTAACGCAGGGAGAGGAGGTGTAGCGGCTAAGATCGATGTTACTGTTAACTCGTATGCACCATCTTGAGAGAAGCTGCCCACCTCTCTTCTTTCTCCGCCAATCTTATCCGTTCGCTCGACCGATCGCGACTACGCGGCGCCGCGTTAATCACGACGTCGTACGTTCATTGGACATCGATTTTCTGAAATCGACGAGTCGCCGTTACCACGGGAATCGGACGTTTTATCGCGATGCAACGCGGCAACGAGGATCCTATCCTGTTTAACTCGCACGTGAATTTCGCTTGTGGGAGGAATCGCGATACCTCCGAGCACACGTGCGCGCTTTTTCAGTGCGCTATCAACCTCTTCCTGGTACGTAACTTTCGTAGAAGTCGCTCACGATTAAGTCGCAGTCCTCTTTTTATCGGCGAGATAGCGTACTTCTGGTGATAGCGTACATCTCTCTCGTGCCGTTATCATTGCGGTCCGTGCACTCGCAAATTGCAAACTCGTGCGAATGGGAACTCGTATAGATACACTAAATGTCCACGGACGTATGATAAACGGACGTGGACATCTGTTTGCTCTCGGATTAACGTGAATAAATTTCAAATGCGCTAGGTTTCCGTCTCGATCGAGAAACATTGAACATGTTTTCACCTGAATTTTAACTTTTCGCGAAGATATCGTTAATTTGCAATCCGCACCGATATCGAATACTATAATTATAGCATGGCTGGCGAAGCTACACCTGGTCTGATCGCCCACGTCCGCGTTTGTGCTTGGTTTCGCGCGTCTCACTTGACGCGCGTTCCCGGCGCGGCGGCAGGACGCGGTGCGACTTGGCGTTTTCTCCGCGGGTCCTGAGACCCGATTCAGGCTCCGAGCGAGTCGTCTCTCTTTCTCTCGGGGGGGATCAGCATAATACGGTGCCAGCCCACGCGTCCTGTCAGCCAACACAGGCACGCCCAGTCACATAACTGCCCAGGTGTGCCCGATTTCGAGGACTTCTCTTGTGCCCTCTTCTCCTACAGCCCCCTACGAAATATAGACGAATTTAAAGTTATTGGCGAGAATTTATCTTCTGTAATATGTGAGACGAGAAACTTGGAACTTCGAATCGTTCAAATTTGTTACATCAAATTTTCAAAATAAAATGCATGACAAATTGTAATTTTATTTTATGTTATGTAGAATAGACATAAAGTTTGCTGCAAATTATTATCGCTCTTCGCAAAACAGATGAATTAAAAATTATTGATAAGGATTTATCTTCTGAAATGAATGATCTTGCAACTTCTTAATTTCTTTGTGTAATTTTTCATAGAGAATTGTTTTAATTACCCTTTCAGCTTAGATATTAATTAAACACATTGGATCGTGAAAAATTGCACATCTTACTTTATATTATAGAATACATGTGTATCTTGGAAGTTATTTTTTTCGAAATAAGCTTATAACATCATCACAAAGCAGATGCCATAAATGAGCAGTGGAAGCACAAGTTGTATCATCGATACGAAATGCATCGAATCTCGTGCGCTGTACTTAATATCTACGATTCAATTCCTATTCGTCCATATGTTCGCTTGCGCGGCATCGGGCAGGAACTCCATTAATTTTTCATTGTATGTATCGTGTGTGTCCGAAAGAAATCGATAATGGATCCCCGATTGAGGTCCGCGTGACCATTGTTACGGGCCGATGCGGCGCGCTACGCCGCGGTTGATTTCAAAACGGTAATTATCTGCGCCCACGCGCTGTGCCGACCGGCAAGTATAAAATGAGCCGCGTGCCTCATCGCGATCACGATCACGATCAGGAACACGATCGATGATATCTCGAGGGCGCCGGGCGAGGGGCCGATTGTAGCAACGATCGGGAGTGTAGGTAACGCGAAACGAGGGCGCGAATCGTTTGTCAGGGTCGCGCTCCTTCAAATTGCCACTTTGTGGATGCAGCGTAAAATTAGCGAGCTTATGCCTCATTAACTCCCGTCGTGCATAATTTACAGACAATCACGCGTTTTCTTAAGATACCTCTTGATAAGATTCTAGATCTCTTCAACGCGGTTATAGTTTTGATCCTCATTACTATTTTACGAACTTCAAATTCTCGTTCGTCACTTTTACGACCGAATTAATAACGATCCATTAGCGAGAGGGGCGCCGCTAATGGATAAATTCTTAATGTGCTGCACCGTGTTTATTGCGGAGTCTCCGATCTCCCCGGGGGAAACAGTAAATGAAAAGCAGAAAAACATAAGATCGATAAGTCACGCTTCATTAGTTTCCTCTCACGTGCGATAATTTGTAGTTGACGGTGACGCGTTTTTGAGATACTTGGCCAGCGGGATTATGCTTGGACACGTACCGGTAGCGGAGATCAGTTATCGACCATAATTTTAGCACATTTTAGTCATTAATAATTCATCAGCGACTCCAATACGCGGCGGCTGGGATTAGAAAAAAAGAAAAATAGATACCCGTAGATCAGAGATTAAGTGGAAACCGGCCCTGACACTTTCTGAATAGCGCCGCGACGAATAAAAGTCTATGTACGGAGCAACGTTTTAATTTAACGTAAATTATGAGACAGTGGTCTGCGTACGACGGCAGAGTTCCGAAGCGTTTCGTTAGTCTAATTTATTATCGAGTCAACAATACCGATGGGTCGTAATGGTCGTAATTAGTCGCGTATCGAAGTGCGGTACAGTTATCGACCATATAATTCTAGTTATTAATAATTTATTTGGCAATGCAGGTATAACTTGCAACGCGAGGGATTGCGTTTATAGCTCGCGCAT